GAGGAGAGTATGGCTAAATATAACATATAGGGAATTAGTCCAAAAAGATTCAGAGAGAGAGAATATGTGGAAACTAGCTGCATGGAAGAATGCAGAAATATATGTGAAATAGCAGATGCTAGATGCACACTGTGTATTTCATATACATAGATGCACAAACTGCCATTTTATTGACTAGAAAAAGGGAGGTGGGGGGAAGTACTTTCTACTGCTTTCTTTACAGTAGAAATTTGCTTTAGCAGTGGAAGTCTTTTAAAGAAGTGTTTTGAAAGACAAAAAATTAACAAACAGAAAAATCAAATGTAAGAGAAAAATTTAGAAAGAAATGTTGACATTGGTTGCTAGGGGAATACGCAGTGGGATGCAGGGTAAAAAAAGATGAAGGTAAGAGTGGAATTTTGCAGAGCCTTGAAGATATGGATGTAAAGATTTAATTGGATATGGAAAGAGAAATAAATTTGCAGGGAAAAGATACAAAGATTTATACACAGAACTACACAGAAGATTTTGAATTGCATTGAGGATCCATGAGTATATTATCAACAGAGGGAGACTATTATCCATTTATTTATTTGTATTTAAGGTAATTTGGTGTCTGGATTTAATGACGTACATGATGTTATCTTTGCTGGTACTTGTAATGCTCTACATGCAGCACTTTTGTACCTGTACGAAGAAATTTAGTTAAAGCATATTCAACTATAACCAGGTCTTTCTGGGTTCTTGTTCTATTTGTTTATTCTGCTGCTATTATCCTAGGGTTATGACATTTTAAAATGAGAAATAAATATTTACTTCTCAGGTGAAAATAATTTCTTACTGCTCAGATGATACTGCCTACTTAAATGTTAAGATGTTCTTGACCACCAGGCTTCCTTGTACCTTTTTTCTTTATTATTTTTATAACTCACTTTTGCTATTCACTATATTTACTTGAAAACTGTATGAAAATTATTTAATCTACTGCACAGTAATGTATTCTCTCTGTTGCTGCTTTTGCTAGTAAGGAATAACTGCATACTTAATGTTCATTCCCCACTGCCTACTGAGTTCCAGCAGTATGTGTGAAGACTGCTGGAAGACAGTGGAAAAGGAGGAAAAGAACAGTATCAGAGAGAGCTGAATGGGGTTATGGAGAAGGGTTAGGAAGGTCACGATTAGGTGCCAGCTGTCTGGTAGAAATGAGTAGTTAAAGTCTCGTAGTTTCTATTTTACCAGTTTGGAGATGATTAGACCAGGAGGGGAAGAAATCTTTGTTAGGTGTCAGTGAGACAGTGGATACTTAGCCTTGAAGAATAAGCAGAACCAGTGGGGAAAAAAAAATCACTGAGACTGTACAATGTGTTTGCATTCAGCACCAAATAAAATAATTTATCTAGCTTTTGAAAAACACAAAGCTGTGAGTTTGTGAATGGCTGGGCTTTCATTCTGTGTTTGTATTCTGTGATTGTGCTGACCTCCTGTATTGAATAACGGCAAGTAAGATTGCAGGCTGCTGAATGGGAGGTGAGGGAGGCCAATTGAGTGAGTTCCCTTGCATCTCTGTTTTACTGCATCTATCCAAGGAACAGCTTCTGTAATGAGGACAAGCATTTTGCAGTCTTCCCATCACAGCTATAATTTTTGCCTGTCTCAGTGGAAATGGGAGATAGTGTGAAAGTAAGGAGGGTCCCTTAGAAAGTTCCCCCCCTTGCCATTTTTATGTCACCAAGTCTGCTGCAGTTTCAGGGTCTGTTATCATCAGAACACGTTGTGTAATTAGCTGGCCTTCAGCAAAGTCAAACACTTAGTCACTTTTCAAAAACAGGAGAAAGGAACAACGGCTTCTGTAATGACAGTGTGAAACTCTACTCCAGGTCAGATACATCCAGTGGGCCTTTCACAGTACCTTATATAGACATTAGGCCCACCAATGACTTCGTAATTAAGTTTTTTGAAGCTTGAATACAGGGTCTTTTCCACAAATAGTCATTAAAATTCCTGAGGTTCCTGTTTTGTGAACCTGTTAGACTCATCTTTAAATTTTTAGATGTAGACGTCTATCAATTAATTTTATAGTAAATCCTAATAGTCACAAAAATTCACATTTGCCCAATTTATATGCTCAGATTGTAAAATCCTTGGTGTTTCCACACTATCATTCTTATGAGTGAGAAAATAAATTAAAAGAAAAAGGGTCTATTTCCTTTCATTTTCTTAGAGGCTATTAAAGAAAAAACCCCAAACACCAAAACAAACAAACAAAAAAAACCCCCAACAAACCCAAATAAATCCCAACAGTTTAATTCTAGTGCTTTTTAAGAAGTATCCTTACTAGCACTTGAAAATAAATTACAGCCAAGCCATAGAAATATAATGCTTAAAAACCCTATTGGTTTTTAAATATAGCTGCTTCAGTAATTCTGTGTACACAAATGTTGCCTAAATGCATACAACCTTTCGCAAGTCTTTGATTGCAGGAAGGAAATCACTTAAAGACTGAGATTAATTGCCTTTCAAAACAAGAAATATTTAATGCTTTAAAAAAAAATGTCTCAGACTAATACCCTCAAAAGTAAATTCTTACTTCTTTTCTTGCTTAAATAATGCATAATGTTCCTCAGGAAATATGAGGAAGTAATTTTTTTTTTAAATTGGAATTTCTATTCCCTAGATGTAACAAGCTGTATATAAATACCGTGCTTATATCTTCCCAGTGTTTTGATTGATAAATATCTCTGTGTTGATTCAGATGTGCCTAAAGCTCTCCCTGCTGCTCTCTATTTACAGAACAGAGGTGGATTAATTGGGGTACACTTCATATCTGCATTTGTATTTTACAATTTGCATTAGATAAAATAAGAATTTTACCTGTACAAAAATGGTGATTTTTAAAAAGGAAAACATACAAGAAGCTGGGCCAAAGGGTCAAGGCATATTTGATGTGTATCCTATATTGTATTTGGCATTACTTTAAAAAATATGTTGTCTTTCTCCAATGTTTTATTTAGTTCATAATTTTAATTGAAATTGGAAATTCTGAGTCAAGAGAACTCTGAACATTTGAGATTTTGGACAAATTTCTAGTAATGATTCACAACTTTTTTTTTTTTTTTGCTTCTAGCTTCTGCCAGTTTGTTTAGGAAGCATGTGTATTGTGGCATTCTCAAGAATCAAATATTAACATATTCACAGAGGCTTCCCATAGTATGATAATATAGTAGTCTTCAGGGCAGCTGTGATGAAAATCAATTAAATTTTTCTTTTTTGAACGGTCCTAAACGAGATCAGCAGTGTTGAGCCAAGTCAGTTAAGGGACCAGCATAACGAAGCTTTCAAATATTGGCACTTACAAATGCATAATTTTCCTCAGGTGCTGTAAATATTAAAATATTTTAACTAAATAGTTAACATAAGCATAGAACAGGTTATAAAACAGCCTGGAACACAAAAAAAATATATTTATTTGCTTACTGAAAGGCTCTACCATAATAAATTCATTTTTGTGTCTGAATCTTCATGTTTTGGGTAGGGTGACTACTCCAAGGTTCGGGTTGTGCTGGAATCTGAATGCTTGGCATTAATATTATATTTTCCAGATAGAGAAACAACAAAGTGTGGAACAATGTAGGACAATCCTGGCAATTTTATAAACTGTAGAAAAAATATTCATATTTCATTTTCTTTATAACAGAGTACATTCATTATAATAATGTACATTTATAATAGATAGGTTATTACATGGAAATCCTGTGTATTCGGTACTCAGTGTGTATCTACTAAGATCAATAATCCCATACGATGGTAAAGATCTTTTGCTCATGTCTGTGTAACTCTTTGATCTAGCATAAATTGTAGAGACATCTGTGTGAAAGATCCACTTTAAGGAGTCAGAAATGTTTCAGTATAAGTGGCTATATTTATAAGGGTTAATCTGTGTGTTAAAAAAACATTGGCAACAAAAGTTGAATGGAGTAGAAAGAGGGAATCTGTACACTTCAGAAAAGGGGAAAGGACTACAAGAAGGCATCTCCACACTCACTGATACTAGGTAGCATTACAGATTGGCAAAAATGAAGTAAGGTTTTGTTCAAATATCTCACAATGCATTGCTTCTTGGACTGTATATAAAAATTAATATGTGATCTGTGTTTTAGAATTTCAAGTCAGAAGGCTTTGGGAATTAACTCTGTAGTTGACTGGCACCCCATAGACAGCATATACAGGGACACATACAGGCTCTGCACAGCATGTTGTACTGAGATGTGCAAAGTCAAAATGTGCCCCGAGATATGTGGCCATAATAAAATGAAATCTCCTGTATGATTTAGTGGTTGTGTTAAAGGACTATTCATCCATAACACGTGTACAATTTTTAAATAGATTATCAGTCTGAGATACTTTTCCTCATAGAAATGTTCTATTCTGTGCACAAATTACTATTGTATACTGAATATTGCAGTTTTCTTTATTACAGCTGGAGGAGAAATTTGATTCAAGAAGCTCAGCTGTTTATTCTTATGTCATTACCACTTGGCCTTTTCATAAGTTCTATGGGGAATAAGAGAAGAGGCTGCTCGTGACATCTTCACTGTTTTTCTGTAGACTTTTTCTAAGGCTTCCAGCCATCAATGGCACTAATGTCCTTAATGACTTTTTTTGGTTTTTTGAGATAGTCCCAATGGCATTTCTCAAAAATAATATTACATTCTTGCAATTTTCATTTGATTGATGAACTAGAAATATCTCACCATAATGCAGGAGTGTAATCCAGAACAATATTGCTATTACTGTTCACTTCTCCTCAGTATGTTCTTCAGCTTCCATTTTGCCAGAAACTATATAGACTGTCATATGAAATTTTGCTATGCAGTCAGGAGGAAATCACTCAAGTTTTGGATAATTACTAGTTTTACAGTATTCGTCATATCTGTTAACAAATGAAAGAATTGTAACTGCTAGCCAGACAATTGCATAAGGTTAGAATGCACACAGACTGATCTTCCTCTTGTATCATTTAGGTTTCTTTACAACAGTGGAATTTCTATATGAATTACAATATCAGTCAAATGAAATTAAATCTCAGCTTGGAGCTTTGGTTGGTGTACATCTGATTCAAAGAGATCGAGATACAGAATCAGGAATTGTAACACTCATCTTTAATGTAGTGTTTGCACCTAACAAACCAATGAGGTAAGCTCCTGTTCCTTATTACCAACAGAGCATGCAGTAAATTCCCCTCTGGTCACTCTTAGCTATGTAAGCACCTTCCTGGACTGTTTTCCTCATTTTGTTTTCACATCTGAGATCTATTATTTTAGATTTTCTCACTCGCTACTTCTCAGTATGATATCTTTGGTATTAAAACTGACTTTGTTTTTAATGGCTGCTGGACAGTTGTGTTGAGTTACTGTCTTAGTCCATGTGTGCATCAGTTTACTTCTAGATGTTGGAACACTGAAAGACTTCCAGTCAAAATTAGATTTTCTCAAAATTGGCAGAAAGTGTGCAGACATGATGGCTTGTCAGTCTTGAAAAACATTTCCTAGACAAGCATGTGTACATATTGTTTCTGGATGGGATGGTTGAATTTGAAATTAGTCTCTAGTGGCCAGTAACAAGAGTCCACAGGAAAATACTACCCTCTTTTATAGCTGTGATGTGAAAAATTATGTATTTGTTTTCATTTACATTAGTACATCCCACCTCTTTAAAAAGAAATTGTGAAAAGGAAATCCTTTTGGAAAGAGAGGAAGGTTGTGCCTTCCTTTTGAAGCAGTCAATTGTGTATGGAGGTGAAAGACACTTTAGTGAGATGCAGGCACACAGTCATGAGGTAGAGGCTCACTATTACCAGGAAGATTAGGGAGCAGTCACTGCTGAATATCCTGGGTTGCATGCAAGGAGGGTATTTTTAGGCTGCAGGATGCAACTGAAATATACCAGAGCAAACCTTTAGGAAAGACTGTCCACCCACCCCGTATATATATCTGAACTATTGTTACAGATTACAGCTAGTAAAACTGTATTGACTTCTTTGCCCCAGGATACATGCATTTGAAGGTGCCCTTGCGAGACTGGAGACCAATCTTTCCATGAATGTGATATTATCTAGTGTTAATAAAAAGAGCTGATTATGAGCTTTCACTCCTGTGTCAATACAACTGGGAACATATCAGCACAGCCTCACATGGCCAAATTCTTCCACTCTTAACTACAGAAAGAAAGATTTTCCTTCACAGTATCTTTTAGTTTCTCCAGGTTGTATCACAGGGCGTTAGATACTCTCTGTATAAAGACACAAAGCAGAATAAAGTGAACACCAATAAGCATGATGGGATTTCTTTGCCATGAGGTTGTTATACTTCAATAACAGATAAACAGCAAGTAAATGACTGTGGTCAGAGTGGCTATGAACGTGAGGCTGCACCAGCTGTCCAGTCTCCACCCGTGGAGCTGTTCTAACCTGGGCTGGACAAAGCCAGAGCAACCTCATCTGCCTTGGAGGTTCACTGTAATTGGGACCTTCAGAGTTCCCTTTCATCCTATATACATTTAAACTTCTATATATGTATGTACGTGTATTTCTTAAATGTTCATCTTGGCAAAAGCAAGATGGTCAGACTTTTCACCTTTCCTATTTTCAATTATGTATATGCCTGGATATTGTAATGAATATAGTAGTTCATAATAATCTTTATGAACCGTTTGTGCTTACTTTTTTTTTGCTACTACTGTATTTGTTAGTGTATTTTGTAGTGTCATTGTGTCAGAGGACAGGTTAATTTACACCACCACCACCTCTGGTTTTTTTTTTAATTTGATTTGGTTTTATTTCTTTGTGTACTTCAGGTCAATCAGACTGTATGTAGAGGACTCAGTGACTGCAATTAATTAGTTTCTTCACAGACTATAGCACCAGTTCTTAGATAATCTGAATTCATCAGAGTCTGGAATTTTTCTAAAGTACATAGACCTTCATTTAATCCATTTGATTCTAATATAACCTGCTAACATGTTCTGGCCCAAATTGTCCTCTAACACCACAGATGTAACACAACAGAGAGTAAGCAGAAGAAGAATCGCTTCGAATGGCTGTGCCCACCATTTTGTATTCATATGGTGTCCTTGTATTTTGTTGTAAATGTCAAGTGCTATTTAGTCCATATTCCAGTCTCAGTGCCACTGATATGGACTGTGCCACATATAATGAAGCAAGTATTCCAAAAGCCATCTGTATTTTCATTTCACTGTAGTATATTTCTACACACTTGAGGCCTATTTTGGACATTGATTCGCTCAGTTTATGTTTTATAATGTTGTTTTACTTATTGAATTTTTGTATCTGGAATTTTAAGGAATGAAGCAACTCTCGTAGTACAGTGCACTACAGGAGGTGTTTGGAAGTTTCCGGTGCTCTTCATTGCTACGCAGCCAGAAGTGGACGATGTCATCAACATTGAAGCAGTTGGCCTCAATAAGGAATCTATAGTTGGCTTTAAGCTTACAAGCCAGACAAGGTAAAAATATTTATGAAAAATTATTCATGCAATTATCTGCGTCTAGAACTCATGCTCAAACATTGGGTAAGATAGATTTGAGCAACAGAAAATAACTGGGCTGCAGCTGTTTCAGTAATACATCATTAATTTCAAGTGCCGCATTTTGTAGGTAACAAATGTGATTTGTACTGTAGAAAACAGAAACATTCTACATTTAGGCTGTAGCCCTTCAAGAGGAAGTTTGTGGAATAGATCCAAATGTTTATGTTATGTCATGTTATGTATGTTATGTGTACTACAATGTTAAGGCAGGTGTGTTGTGATAGTAAAGGCTCACCATTAAAGCCTTAATGATTTTACTCATGGATTGCTTTTAAAAGTGCTTTATACTTACACCAAGGTAAAAACAATCCTTTGCATTGTTCTTTAAAAATCTTTAAATGTGCTGTTTTTCTTAGGTATTTCTGTTTTATTTATAATCATTTTAATAATTCATCTCCACTCTGTCCTTTTACTAGATAAAATAATTGTGTCATTCTTCAGTATTTTGTTACTCTCCTTTTTAAAAGTTCTGCAGAAATCTCAATATATTTTACTCACTTTTAATTATTTTCTCAGAGTTTCATAATGTTATAGCAAACCCATTTTTAAATGTTTTTTTTTTAATAATTGACCTTTTTTTACTGTATATCTAGAAAGAGTGCTAGATATGCTGACTGACAGTTAACTTCCATTGTAGTTGCATGCTTTAGTAACATCCCCAACAGGAAGTGTTCTTGGCTCCAACTAATGGTTTGCTTTTTTTTAAGAGCTTATTTCCAAAAGCTGTGCGTCTAAGATGGACAGTTGTTCCAGCTTTTAGACGGCTGTCAGTGATGATAATTACTAAGGACTCTGAAAAAGGCTGCTATCACAGTGTTCAAGTTAACAGCTTCAATAGAATGGGCTGTTTCAGGAACAAAAGTGAAGCAATTGCTCTGGCAATACTGTAATCTCCTAGTAGGTGTTTGATAGTAGTGAAGAGACCTAATGTTCTCTGGAAAGGTATTATAAAACCTGAACCATTATAGTTATATAAAGAAGGAGCCATGATGGAAGACAGATTCTCTTTTTCCCTTAAACATATTCCAACTCTATTTTACATAACAAGGGTTCCCCTATACATTGCAAATACAAAATGTAATTCTTGCATGTACTGAATAAGCTGCATGTTGTAAATAGTGCCAACAACTGCTCTGTAAGTTTTATATTGCTTTATCTTATTTTTGATTTGCTTAGGAGCTTTTGGAGGTGGAGTTTTTGTTATAGAAATAGAACAGTCAGCCAACCAACACTTAGCATTCAGGATCCACAGTATAAAAGCAATTACACAAGAAACCTGTATATTACAGGTGTAATTTAATGCTTGAATAACTCAAATTACTTAGGTTAAAAATAAGACCATGAAATATTAAAATATGGATTAAAAGTTTCAATTGGGATATGAAGTGTCATCCTATAGACCTTCCCTGAAAATATTATCAGCCCTTTGGAGTTTTTCTTAAGTAAACAGTTTGCAGCACAATCCCATTATTCCCCCTGCATTTAGATACTTCTTGTCTTCCTTTCTTGTGCTCAGTATTACCTCATGTGCTAATTTGAGAGATAGTGGGGGGAACTGCAGGGATGTATTTCTGTGTAACCTGCTAGAAAGGGACTCTGCAGCTGTGTCTTTTTCTCCCTCTGCTACATGCAGGACTGAGTGGTTGCACAGCATCACTGAGAAGACCTTTTTGGGCTAGCGGGGTGAAGAGTGATGCAACAAAAAATATTTGAAAACTACAGCCCCCACTCCCTCCCCCCCCCTGGAAAAAGTCAGTATCTATAGCAAGTTGAATGAGGGTCTTTAGAGATCCACAGAGCACCTTTGGTGACCAGTACAAAGTTATGAGGTCAATAGTTTTAGCTTTTTTTTTTCTTTACAGCTACTGCAACTCAAATGTGGGCTTATACCTTTAATTCCACCCTTCCCCAGAAAAATCCTCAATGTGTGTTGAAATACTTCAGATTGAATCAATGGTTTTCCAATTTGCCCATCACTACTTTTGATGTACTTGCTTTGGGAACGATGAACAGTTACAAATGGGAGGTAGTTACCATGCTGCTCACAGTGATCTGCAGTAATGAAAGCTCTGAGAGTCCAAGCGAATATGTAATGCGCTCTGTCTTTTAATACATTTAAAATTGACACACACACATGCACCCAGTGAGAAATAGGCCAATATCTGCTTCATTAAAGAATGAAAGACACTGAGGATGCAGCCAAGCAGTTTTGTTGTATGAAAAAAACTCAAATATCTTTTTAAAACCTGTCTACACCTAGGACATTTGTGATATATGAGCAGTCTAATACTTTATTTCAGGTTTACAAATTCATGAGACATATTGTTGAATGGTTTCTTGTAGTGGCATTAAGATTGGTAAGAGTCAAATAAGCAGATTTCACTTGTTTAAGAAAAATCTGCCACTTTTTAACATTCATAGATGACCTTCTTTGGGTTTTGTCATAAATTTAGGTTTAGTTTAGCACCAGCTGAAGTCATTGGCAACACTTCCACTGAGGTAACTGGCTTCGGTACAAGCCTCTGTGTTTGTGTTAACATTAGTGTTTGTCTTAATACCAAATGGATTTTTGAATGCCCGTGTTTTACAGAATTAGAGCAGTATTAACCAAAAAGAGTAGATAAAATCTTATTCCTGGAAATAAAAACTATAGAAACTTGTTTGATGTACAGCTCAAATTATTGGTCTATTATTTTATGCTGATATCTGTAATTGAAACAGAAACTAAAAATTCAAGAAGTGATGTTTTTCTTCAGAAAACTAATCCTTTCTATATTTGTGTTACTGAAAGTAACTTCTTAATATGTTTTTAATCAATTAGATTTTGGGATTAGAACAATTGTATTAATACACAACTATTTTTCTGAGAATCTTTATGACCATGTATTTCAGTACAGAGGTATTTTGATGGTTGAATTTATTTTTTCACATTAAAATACTGATACCTAGCTACAGCAGAAGGTTATCCTATATGTTTTTCAGTGCAAATACTTCAGTAGCCACCATGAAACATGTGTATAGTTACACATGACCTCATTGCATCTTTCCAGTATCTGAAGGGGGCCTACAAGGGTGCTGGGAGAAGACTTTTTACAAGAGCCTGTAGTGACAGGACAAGGGGTAATGGGTACAAATTGAAAACAGGGAGGTTTAGATTAGATATCAGGAAGAAATTCTTCACAGAGAGGGTGGTGAAGCACTGGAACAGGTTGCCCAGAGATGTTGTGGATGCCCCATCCCTGGATGTCTCCAAGGCCAGGCTGGATGAGGCTTTGAGCAACCTGGTCTAGTGGAAGGTGTCCCTGCCCATGGCAGGGGGGTTGGAACTAGATGATCTTTAAGGTCCCTTCCAACGCAAACCATTCTGTGATTCTATGTTCACTTGAAATTTTTTTGTAAACTACCTATTTTTTCACATTGAGGTAACTTCTCAGATGAACTCAAACTAGGCTTCAGAAAAACATACTTAGTAAGTGCCTGCTGTCACAAAAGCAAACAGCATGGTATCAACATGGTCTCCACAGAGTGGCCTCTGCAAAATCCAAGGCTCCACCTGATTATGGAAAAGGAGCTAGAATAAAGAGAGAACAAAAACAGGTGGACTGGGGAGATGAGAAGATGAAAATAGGCTTTTAAATGACTGCGTGTGCAGACAGTTATCTTAACCTACATTTCCTATTTTGAACACCACTGTGGATATTTTCCTTCTTTCTTCTATGTACATATCCTAGTGCATAGAATAAATGTTCAATTAAAAACATTCCTTGATCACACTAAATTAATTTTAATGCTGTCTGAAGAATAGCAAGCAAACCATTTTTTTCTATACCCTCCCTAACTGTGAAGGAAAAAAACAAAAAACTGTTTAGAGTTACAACTTCAATAAATATTTATATTTTAATGTAATTACTGCTGTATTTCATTACCATTACCATGAGCCAGAATTATGTATGCTGCAAGAAAATGCTTCATTAAGTTCTCAGCACAGGCATCCTCTCTTCACCCTCTCTCACACATTGCTATGCGCATTACAGGCCTGGATTACTGTGCCAATCTCTTTCTTACCAATTCTGAAAATTCTATCATTAATATAAAGATTACATTCTACCCTGGGTAGAACAGGAATGAAACAGAAACCTTAACATTTTTTGAAAATAAAACCCCTAGCTTTGGTTTTACGACATGTGCACAACAAAAGTGACATTACATTTGATAAAGCATTCCCTCCCTGCCAGTCATTTGCCATGCAGTGTTTCTTCATATTTTTTGAAAGTCCTTAATTCTGAAGCAGTTTTTTCAATATGATAGTTGGAGTTAAATCTTTTCTGGTGTCCGGAGTTTAGAATTTAGAGTGGTCAATTAAGTTAGAGTTGGTTTTGGTATAAAACATGACCAATTTTGATAATTAATGAGAATATCCTAATTTTTTCCATTGTATTTTTTTCAAAAAGAAATTATCTTAATCATACATACCAGCTATCACTAATAATTTTATAGAAACTGACAACTGCATACAGTTAATAAGTTAAAGGACTTAAGAATATAATAACTGAAATTTCTGTGTCATCCAACAGATGTTAACTGCAAATGACAAGAAGTTCTGTTATGATTAACCATTTTTGGAAGCAGATTGCAACATTTCAAACTCGATCCATTAATTGCTTAGGCAGTTATATACTTCACATATTAAAACATTTTGTTATTCTTGTTTTACTGAAAAAAATAGGTTTAATCAAAAGCACTGTTGTTTTTTTACGTATGGTTTGCAAAATGCTGATTTTTGTAAAGGAATGGTTTTCTACAGGAATAATTTACTGCTTCACTAGTTTGAAGAAGAGAGAGTAAACATTAAAGCTATTTTGAACCTTAATTTAATAAAGGCTTATATTTTCAGATTGATGGGTATTTTATAAGTTTTGTGGTGAGATTTCCATGTGAATACAAATTTTAAGTTTTTTTTAATTGAAGACAAATTACTGTTCTTTTTTACTTTATTAATTTGAAAATTTTCTAAGATGAGGACACTGTTGAGAACAAACTGCTATTTAAGAACAAGATTAAAGGAATAATTACAACTATGTCTATTAAATACAAGCTCAATTTTCACTCTTCCTGGTTTCCATTATTTCATTTTTCATTTATTATTTAATTAAAATTAATATTTACTCTTGTTCATTATTTGGTTAAGGACAAAGTTCATATTGTCTGACAGTATCAAACCATTATGACAGGAGTTATGGAACACGCAGGCCAGAAGACACATTTGCTTTCTCTGCTTGATACAGCCTCTGCCCTTACATTTACTAATTCATGTATGCTTGGTTTGTATTTTCAAAACTCTACACATCATTAGACTTTATTGAGTAGGTTAGTATCTGCCACCCTTGAGTTAAACAAAGCCTTCTTGAAAAAATATAGACTGCTTCATCACTGTCCTTCATGGCTGAGGAATGACAAGCCAAATATTGACTCAAGAGCTGTTTTACCTGAAGCAGTAATCAAAAAGGAGGAATTAATTTTTAATCATTTTAAACCACATAATTATTAATTTTTAATTATATGCTAAATATACAGACACTGAAAACAATAATGTCTGAAATTCAGGTGCTATTCTGGGAATTTTATCTCCAGCTTTCTCTGTACGACAGAAAATGAGAATGACAAGCAACTTACTTATGCTAGCGAGCTAGCCATGGTGCCAGATCATCTCCCTGAAGTGAACATCAGTGAAAACACTGCTTGTTTTTACTTGAGAGTTCATCTTCAGATATATTTTAAAAATAAAAATTACCAGGGCTCAGGCACTGTGGAAGGTTCCTGGTTCTGATTGTGTGTAAGTTTTTAATTGCTGGTGTACGTACTGTTAGCCATACCTTCATCAGAATCCCTACTGGCCTAGCTCATTATGGCTACACATTCGTTTTGCCAGAATTTCTATTTTCCTCACTTAGAAATAGCTTCCACTTTGAAGAACATTTTGTGTCCAGAACTAACTTGACTCTTTTGTTTAAAATTGCCGGGCTGCGGGGAGGAGATGGGAAGGGAAGGAGAGGGGAAGGTAGAGGGAAGGGAAGGGACAAGTTTTAGGTGTGACTATGTATGTTCATGTAAGTATGTATGCGTATATATATTTACTCAACACATTAAAAAATCTGACTCTAGTACCTTGTGCCAGTGCTGTCAAGAAGCGTACAGATTTTCGTAAACGCTTTTTTTATTAGTGTTTCTTCACATTTCTTTATGAAAATTAAAATCTGACAAAGTTGATGCAATAACATTTTTTCTCTGACTTGGTAAATATTTTGCGTGCACAATTATAGATCAGTTTTCTGACAGTTTAATTTTAGAGAGTCTGGTCCCCTTCTCAGAACTAGAACTATAGCTTTTTCTCTTGTGTGTTTTCTGATGAACTGTTTTGAGTAATCATTTTGGACCCTGAAAAAAACTACTGTTGCATCACACCCTGCTAAGACACAACTTATGCAGGAATAAAGTCCTTAGTTTCTTGTATCTTCTGTGCATGCAACCTGTCCCATCTCCCTTATCATGTCATCATTGCATCTGTAGTCTAAGTGATGGTCTTGTATGTCTTACAAAGATGCAAAGTGCTTATTAGGAGTCATCATCCCTAATTACTTACCAGAAGACAGACTGAACATGGGAGATAAGGTGATGTCTTAAAATGTTCCTAAATCTCATCCATAGAGAAATGATGTTGGAAGCGAGGATGTGTTTGGGTCTCTATTCCCAGAAACCGGGTTTGAATATTCCTCTCAGGTGTTTTTGGTGAGCCGTCTACTCTGTCTAAGAGGCATCACTTCTGTTTCATCCGGTGCCTGCCTTTTGTGTGTAGTAGGTATGCTCTAGGCACTCACAGCTGAGCAGTCCTTGCGGGAAATAAGCATCTGAAAATTCAAGGCTGAGCTGGCACATAGAGGAGGACTCAGGCCGCAGCAGGATGAGTGCTTATGGCCCAGGGCTGTAACTCCGCTGCACAACTGCAGCTACCACAGGAAGGGATTGTCAGCCTAAGTTTGATGTCACAAGACTTGAAGTGTGGTTTCAGATATTCAGTAGTTTTGCCTCCTTGCTGTCACTTAAAGGAAAATCTAGGCTAAATTGGCTAATGCACCCAAGTCTGATCACGCTGCTAAATGTCAGTTAATTTTTTTGAGGAGGCAGAAGCTTTTTTTTTTTTACTTGCTTTCTTCACTTGAACCATTTGTTTCTCCAAACTTAAAGTATAACCTTTTTTTCATAAGGGGTATTTTGAATTTAAGAAAACCTTTCGTAAGCATACATTCCAACAGAGAGCTATTTTTAAACAAGATGACATACACCTGGTGCACCACTCGCTGAATAGCATTTGCCCAGGAAATATGGGACATTTCCGTAGAGATATGAATTATCATAAAATATTAAATTACACCTTTTTTGTGAGTATTTCTTTGAAAAGCAGTGTTATTTCTGGTGTGACAATACATGAATAAACAGATTTGAACAGCTTTTCTTTGAGATGCTCTTAGTTTTTCATTTTTCAAGTTTTATCAACTAAAAATGTGTTCTCTCTAAGCATGCATGATATGTGTCCTGCTGTACTGTGACAGGGTGTTGTGGATTTTGTTTTGACCATGCTATTGTATTTCTGTTTCCATTTCTGTTGTTCTCTTTCTGTCCAGATAGTGATAGAGTTGTCCTCAGTGACACAGTGACAGAATAAAAGGAGAATGCCTGACTGGAAAATACAAAAATATATATTTTTTGATGCTGAGAAAGTTTATGGCAAGGAGTCCCTGAAGAACTGTGATAGACAGGCTTCAGTTTGGGATTAGTCTAAGATTGTTCTGTAGTTCTCAGCATCTGTCTTTACCAGGAGTAAGACATTTTCTTTGGGTGCAACAGTACTGCCATGAAATTAGCATTCTTATAAGAGATATGCAATAATGTGGATAGAAGAACCTAATGATTATTATTATTGCAATATTTTAAAGTCTTTAGTTTATGGGATATGAAATATTTGGAAAACAGTGTTAGAAAACTTATTTTCCAAATGTTTATTTCCAGGCTTCCAGAACTTCCTCCCAATCTAGTAACACTACCAGACTGCAAATTCAATTCTCGTCATAAAGCTTAATAAAAATGAGTGTCTTCTCTTTTTGATTTGATTAGAGATTGGAAAAGTGATGATTTTTTAATAGGAAAAGTGGATTTTTACTCAGACATGCAATTTATTTCTATCACTATTATTATATCTTTACAGGTCAGATGATTCTTTTCTTATTAGTGGCAAATGCTAGCAGGTCCCTGTGTATAAAGGTCATAAATATTTATAAATAAATGTAAATAATTACTACAGAATATTTACTGTGTAAGTAAGAATGCTATTATTATTATATACATATTCCATGGACTGCCAAGTCTACCGAGTCATGGCACATCATGGTCTAAATGTTTGATTGTAGATAAATTGTACTGAGATAGTGTAAAAAGCCCAACAGCCTCCTGTGCTTTTCTGCAGGCACCCAGAGCCATTCACTGCACACTTCCTGGCAGGCAGTGATCCTGATTTCCTTGTACTGCCACAAACTGGAGAACTTCTTCCAGCTGGCACTGTGGGAACCCATATAACAGTGGGATTCAAGCCAAGGATGTACGGCAAGAAGCATACAGCAACACTTGTAATTCAGGTAAGCCATCCTGAATGCAATACACGAATATACCTTCAGGAGTGGCAGGAAAAAAAGAAATCCTATACAAAAAAGCAGCACTGAAACACGCAGATGCATGCACTGTGATTATTTTACTATTCTTCACTATGTACAAGAATAAAACTAAATTTTGAAAATTAACTCATGACAAGTTGGAACATACACACACACAAATTTAATTTCTGTGTTACCCTTTGACCATCATCACCATAGATGGGTACTGACCTTCATATGTTTGTCCCAACTCCATAGTCAACAGGACAGAATGACTTTTCACAGAGAATCAAAATAATCATGTTAAGAACTGGTGGACAATATATTAGTAATTGAATATGTGAGGCCTATGTTGTTGATTTTATTTGTAATATATCTCATGGGTCAAAGGCACTAGAAGCTAGATACTGAACTGGGGAATTTCAGAATATGAAGTCAGGTATAACTATTTTTAAAAAAAGCATCAAAATAAACAGAAACACTTTATTCACTGCATGCTGGCAATGTTTTCAGGCTACTATTTTAGAAGTGAAACAGCAATATTAATTTAAAAAAATAAGATGGTCAAAAGAAAGTTGATAAAAAGATGCATATCAAATGACTATAGTGTTTTATCTCTCTGAGTGACAGCTTGTACAACAGTGAGTAAGAAATTCAAATCCTGGAAAAACAAGAAGGCCCTTTAATCCCTCCTATTTGTTTTCTTTTACCAATTAGACATTTAATTTAGTCTTTTTACATAAACAGCAGTGATGATCATTACTCTCTCATTTGAGAAAAAATAAATGACTGGATTTATTCTGTGTTCTTTTATATTCACATAACGCTACATGACACATCTATAGAGCTCAGAGAACTCTAATGTAGTTCTGGAACTGAACTGGTTTTAGGCATGACACATGTAAATGTAGTAGCCATGTTTGTCTGTGGTTTAACTTCCATCACTAACAGGTTTGTCTGCAATGGGATAAACATGATGGTCAAAGATTATTATTAGCTTTCTAAGAACTCAGTATTCCAAAATTTCTTTTTAGGAATTTACCAGTCCAGGTGCACTTTGAGTAGTTAGATTTTTAACCTACATCCACTCATACCTCAGCCTCTGGTTATGATCTAGGCAGAGCTCTCTTTACACCTCTACCTTTGGTACTGTACGCGGGTGCAGGAAGTCACTCATACATATTACATACATATATTATCCAGCCTATTCCTGTATGTTCCAAAGTACATTGAGGGCCCTTAATGCTCTGAAGTGCAAATTTTTTAACCAATATTACAGCATCACATTATGCTGGAGATATTTCTAGCAGTCTTACTCTAATTGAAGCATTAAGCTGTTTCAGTAATGTTCTGATGAGGCTTGTGTTCTCTTTGCTCTTCTTGGTACTCCTTCCCCCTTTCCTCTTCTGCTGTTGTAATGTAAGCCAGAGCATTTACGACTGTGTGCAATTCTGCTGCTGCCATCTGAACATTGACCTGAAATAGGACTTGATGACATACTGAGAATACCAGATACTCATTTCTGCCTTTCCTGTTAGTTGAAATAATTTTCATTAGTGACCTGAGGGAGACAGATTTAGTTAGATGGCAAAGCCAGTATTAAATCCCTCTTATTTGGGGAATAATAACGGAGCTGGTGAAACACATTTAATGTTGGACCCAACACTGAAGAACCTCTCCTGCACATATGCTTTCTAGCCAATATACTGGCTGAGGCTTTGGGCTATTTTTAGAAGCAGTGAGGAAGTTTCTTTTTGTGTTACCTCTCTTCTGATGCTGCTCTAGTAAAGGATTACAGCACTCTTGCTGTGTAATTTCCTTTCAGTTTCTGAGGGTAAAGTCACAGCCCCAACACTAACATATTTTTATTATTAAATTCTATGAATAGTATCAGAACTGTCATTTTTGTGTGCTTCAATGAACAGTAATAATTAGGCTGTAAAGTAGCAGAGAATACTGTCTAAGTTCTTTGTTTTATGTTGGTCATTACAATTGTGTTCTAAAGTAAAATGGGAGGTTGAGATTATGGAGAAAGATTCTACAGTCATCTTTTTCTCATTTGTTGAAAACATTAAATGCAAATATTGTACATGCAAATTTTTTGGTTTAGTTGCCCTGCTGAGAACCCAGTCTTAAGGAGCTAATTAGCATTACAATTTGCCTTTATCAAAATTTAGCATGTACATTTTATTAACTAAATGTATGTCAAGAATTGAAATAATGTATCCTCATTTATAGTTTCTGTACAGAAATCAGGTACTTCATGGGCCATTTTGTGGATTCTTTAAGACTTCAATAATCATGAATACTTACAGTAGATTTTTATTAATAGCAGAAAACCTTAATTACTTTGCTGAAGTAATTAAATGTTCTTTAACCATCATTAAAACTTCTGTCCTCAGTCAACTACTTATCAAAACAATTGAAGCTAGACAATTATTTAAGTAGCTGTTAGGAATCTTAATTTTGTAAAGTGACACACAAAATTACTTAAAAAAAAAATCTGTAGATCAAAGAATGAAATATAATAAAAAGCCAGTAAAGAAAATAATTATGCTTGTTTCTGCGGCTGTGACAGAACACATCATAATCTAGTCACGCCACGGGGAAGAAACAGTGGCATGGTGCACGCAGAGCATTTTTAAATAGGTATTATTCCATAATCAAAATTCCGCATTTAAAATAGCTTTCATAAATAGCATAGTTCTAACTGGAAAAAAAAAATATTGCCACTAATAATAAATATGTGAAGAGAACATGCTTCTCAGATAAGCTCTAACGTGCTGCGAGGAAAAAAAAAAACTTCCTCAGCTCAGAGCTGGGCTGCGATGTGCCAGTAAAGCTGCAGACAAAACCAACAGAGCTTAGGGATGGGGAGATGCAGCTGGGGCAAGGGGACACTCCATGAAGACTTCCTGGAGCAGGAATTGCTGCCAGGAAGGCACAAGGCAGAGCAGCCAGGAGGCTGGTGAATCCTTGGAAAAGGGTGAATCCAAGTTGACTTACAGTTAATTTGCTTGCACTGTGCTAAATTCAGCTAGAAACCTGAGCAATTACTTTGTAATTCCTGGGTGAGACTCCAGAGATATTCTAAAGCAGAAGACAGACAAAATAAATCTTAAATGATAAAATAGTTGTCACAGGAAACCAGATTGCAGGTAACATTATCAAGCCCTCCAGAAGTCAGGCTTGTGCACCTTTATTACTGAATAATCACTAACTTAGCCTATGGAAGATAGCATATCAAAACCATTTGTCATGCTTTTCTGGAAATAAATGATGCAGTGTGCAAGCCACAGTGCCTGGGTGTGGCTTCTCTAAGCTTGTCTATGCAAACTTGCATATCTTAACAGTAAGTGGTACTGTTACATATTCAGTAGCTTGGTGAAAATACGTCCTGCATTGTTCCTGGTAGACTTGTTAATTACCGTAGTTTAGTGTTGTTCTAAATTGTATCTCTTAAACAGAATGAGCGAGGAAATATGTAACAGTTAATAGGATAATTGAAGTGGTTTCACATGAAATAAGACATCACCTGTGTCCCCTGCCACTGGTTGATGTTGACCTGAATTTTATGATTAAAAGCAGAACCCCAGAAAGTTCAATAATACAGGCAGTGAATGTAACACATCCTATAATTAGAATCACTGGATTCTGAGTGCAGAATCAATAGTCTAAATTTTTGATTCACATATGCTTTGATTCACAAGCATAAGGAAAGCTTACTTTGCTTATTGATCCTATAATTCTCATAATGCCAAAAGATGATAATGTTATGGGAACCATTGTTGTATGAGGATATTGAAAACATTGTCAGTCCTAAAAAATTATTGATATTGATTTATTATATCTAAGCAATGCTAATATTTCAACCACAGAAGTCCATTAAGCCACCTTTAATTCTGTCTGAAAACATTCCTCTAAGCTAAGAAAATGATTGTTAGCCATCTTCATTAGAAATCGCTCAGATTTCTAATGGCTGGGCATTGGTCTGCTTGTGGGAGGTGGTGAGTGACTGTCTTTGCATCACCTGTTTTTTGGTGGGTTTTATTGTTGTATTTTTCCTCTTTCCTTTGCTTACTAGACTGTCTTTATCTTGATCCATGAATTTTCTTGCCTTTACTCTTCCCTTCCACAGTTCACATAAAGGTCTGGTTTAATTTCATTCTGTATACACATAATTGGTAATTTTTTGCTTGTCAACACTATAGTATAAATTAAGGGTCGGGGAATATTGCATGCACTATCTGTAATTTCCTGGGTTTTACCTTATTTGGAAGTCTCGCAAATTTTATTTTGACTTTCCTGAGTTAACACTTTGGAAGATAATTAGAATACCATTTATCTTAAAATTCCCAATACTTGCTCCCAATAGTTAATGCACTCCTAACTTTGATTCCTCTGGCAATTAATTAGCATGTAACTCGGTAGCACTGCCAGCCTACAGTGAATACACATGGATGATCCGTGTTCTGCAAAGTAATCCTATGAATCATGAGCCATCTGCAAGAATGGATTGAATACCAAAAAGTATACTTTTATGTAAACTATTTAGTGACTGTAACTAGTATTTGCTGAATAAATTACTTCATGAACATTACTCAGCCATTAAGATGGTTAAATAACTTGATTAACATAATATTTAGTAAAAAGTGGCAGCACGCACATCATTTTTGGTTTCTACAAAATATTGTTCAGAAAGATTTAGCTCTGCAGATGGCCATTACTCCAACCAGGGGAGCCAAATTATTACTCTCGTCACACTTCAGTTAGGTTATAGCCATCAGGAATTTTGAGGTTTTGATAAAAGGAAGTCATTCATTTCAACAAGAAATCCTCCCTCAGATTGTCAAGGACATTCAGATTGTGGTCTGGTTTTCTTAAATTATGTGTGGAATACGTCTAGAGGTCCATTGCAGGGAGCCTGAGATTCTTAAATACCTCTTTATATATCTTCTTAACAGAGAATGTATTTTGTGTTTCCGTTCTAGTAGACAATTGTAGTGGATTCAATACCCTCATTTTTACACTTTGTTACTACCAATGCTACTATTAGAACTGTTCCAAATTTTGTATAATAAACAGCACTGCCTTAAGCATAGGAAGAGTTCTGATCTGGGAAATTTTGACCCATTTCTTAGGCAAGTACATATAACTTGTAAGACAAATATTCTATCCTAATCAGATGATCATATATAGATGACATTTCAAAGAATCTCTCTCTCTCCTTTCCACCACTCCAGAAAAGTCTGAAACTTCATCTGTCTTTTACTTTACTGAAACATGTCTGACCTGGAAACCCAAAGCAGCAGCTTTAAGGCTCTTGCACAGATACTGAACTTGCTCTTGCTGCAGTTTTCATATTGGTTACAATAGTGGTTAATCTATAAGACTTATTGTGAAAGAAAGTATTTATGGTTTCAGCAGCATTTGAAAACCTAATATTTTCCCTTTGAAAATTAAATATTCTAGTAAAACAGACAATTGAGGGTGTCTTAAGGTTTTTGTAAAATTACTGAGTTCTAGGTTGTCTTGAAATTTACTGTAGTTTAAGTGGTTCTAGTGCTAAACGCAGCACTACTACAATTTATATTGACATTTACCATAACTCTCTTCCATTCGTGTAACACTTGTTTCCCCTTTAGCAGAAAATGCTGAACTAAGCATCCTTTCAGTAAAAAAGGATATAAATGCACTTTTTTTTTTCCCCCACAATTACTGTCTTGGATGCTGTCACGTGATTTACAATAAATGGACTGCCATAGATGAAGGTGATATGATTATAAATGAGGGGGTTTTGTTTTGTTCTGTTTTTCTTTTGTTGTTGTTGTTGTTCTAAATTGATGGACCCTATCCAAAGGGCTCGTGATAATGCCCATAACGTCTTCCCCACTAAGCTTTTTTTTCCCCCACAATTACTGTCTTGGATGCTGTCACGTGATTTACAATAAATGGACTGCCATAGATGAAGGTGATATGATTATAAATGAGGGGGTTTTGTTTTGTTCTGTTTTTCTTTTGTTGTTGTTGTTGTTCTAAATTGATGGACCCTATCCAAAGGGCTCGTGATAATGCCCATAACGTCTTCCCCACTAAGC